GAGGGTCCCCTCTTAATTGATTAGGGTTAAGCATACAATAATAATTTTATTCTTGACAAATATGAAATGCTACTTACCCAAAATGACAAAAAAAATAGCTTTTCTCTCCTTCACCGCTTAATTTCGCTAAGTTAGACCCTAGATCTGATTCACCCAGGTTTGCTACAACGGTGGAACCCCTGCTGGACAATTCTGTATGTGCCCTACAGGATGGATGGGAACGTTCTGCGAAGTTGGTGGGTGAACTTTACGAAAGTCTCATAATGGCGATGTTAACACATTGATTAATCTATTTTATCCAGCTAAGTGCACGGAAATGGGAATTACACCAGAATATATGCGCACAAATGTCGATATGGTGTTCATGCTTGAACTCACTGAACAAGCTCATGCTCAGGTAAAAATTGCTAAAAATAACTCTTTCAGAGTATTAAGCTGTGTTAAAGTGGAGAGGAACGGTTGAGTTGATGCTGGGTTGAACTTTGATTGAATAGAAGCTAGAATGATCAATGACTAATAAGTCAGTTAAAAGCTATTTGAAGCAGTAGGTAAATTATTCTAAAGTAAGCGTTGAAGTTTATATCCAGATAAACTACTCTACAATTCTTTGAATAGGCAGTCTTCCATTTCTAGGTCTACTACCTCAACTCCATCTTCCCAGATCTCATCCGGGATATCCAATCACAAGATGGCACGTGGATTACCCGCTACGTCATTGTTGGATACAATTCTACTTGTGAGTCGGATTTCCAGTCAAGGGGAAATTTCAAACAAAATATAGCTGGCTTCAGGGGCTGATATCCTTTACATGTCTCCTTCGTTCGACCCTTCTGGTATGATTAAATTTATGAATCAGTTGGCTCAGCAAGTGCCTACCGATAACGGTTGCGTGGTTCAGGTGGGTGGAACTTTACCATTTATGGTAAAGTGGGTATGAAACTTAGAAAGTTGATAAAAATTTAGCTTTGGAAAGCGCTCGACCTAGTGTCTAGATACATAAGATTCGGTTCGTATGTGGAAGTCTTTGTGGTAAGCGCTCTTCTAAGAGTTATTTACTTACCATAACCACAAAAATCTATAACCAAAGTAATTTTTAGGCCTCACCTCAAGATGAGACGATGTTCGACAACTTCTACATAGGTTATGAAAATGCTAGAGCTTTGGGTGTTCGTGTGAACGCTTTTGTCAATGTGTTCGAAAAGGGATTAGCTTGTAATGCTACTGATGTAAGCAAAAGAACTCGAAAACCACATCATTTTCTTAAGAGTTTTGGGAAAAAAACATTTATAGAACGATTTCGATAAACTCTTCGCCTTAACTTCATCAACAACTGGTTACAACTATGCGCTTCATCCATTTGATATATCTACCGTGGTAAGTTAATAAAAACTTCGAAAGTGTTAAAATTTATGTGTCCTTCTTTTTTTTCAGATCACCCGTCTCATTCCTCTCCAGTTTTCGTCGGGCATCGTTTATTCACAATACCAAGATAATTGTATGGATAATCACAACATGCAGGTTGGTTTGTATGGGTAAAAAGCCTAACCTTTGCGAGATTAGATGGCAAAGAAAAACACCTTTGTAGTCTAGGAGAGGGAATTTAGGTATTCTTCCCTATCGATGCCTACGCTCAAACTATTCAGCTCAATGCTTTAGGATTCAATAAGACCGTAACAATCTATGACGGAGATGGTAAGGAAACGTCCTACAAACTACCCATGAAATGTAGTATTGATTTGAAAGTGTCAAAATCTTACCTATATAAACTGCACTAAGATCGCTAACAGTATAGGGACTAGCCCCTCTCACTCCTTCCTCCCCCCGCCCAACCTTTCCTCTCTGATTTTCGTTGCATATGGATTCATTCGAAACAGCGTCATGCATAACAAAAACATCTAGGGAACAAGTGGAGGATCTAAGTCGTAATTTACGCATATCTTATTCCTATATCTAGTAAATTTAGCGAGTCTCGAGAAACCTCAAAATAATGTAAATACCCTTCCGCCTTGTTTTGGGATGCCACTATAAAATA